TGCAGCCGAAATTCACCTCTGGGCTTTCTCCAGCACTTCTATTTCCCATCATAGCCATTAATGCCGCACACACAGGTTGTCTATACATCTTCCCATGACACCCAGGCCAAGTTCTCTGCAAGGCATCACACTGAGACACAGGCATTGGAATTAAGGGGGCTGACATGTCTGATCAATGCACACATCCCACACATACCTTCAATACATCCCATGTATATATACATACATAGAACCTCCCCTACATACCTACATAGAACCTCCACTATATCCCATGCATCCATACATAGAACCTCCCACTACATCCCATGTATATATACATACATAGAACCTCCCCTACATCCCATACATACATACATAGAACCTCCACTACATCCCATGTATATATACATACATAGAACCTCCCCTACATCCCATCCATACATAGAACCTCCACTACATTCCATGTATATATACACATACATAGAACCTCCCCTACATCCCATACATACATACATACATACATAAGACCTCCACTACATCCCATGCATCCATACATAGAACCTCCACTACATTCCATGTATATATAAATACATAGAACCTCCCCTACATCCCATACATACATACATACATAAGACCTCCACTACATCCCATGCATACATATATACAACATAGGACTCCCACTACATCCCATACATACATATATACATAGGACCTCCACTACATCCCCATCACTACATCCCATACATACATATACACATAGGACCTCAATACAGTCCATGTATATATATACATACATCCATAGGACCTCCCCTACATCCCATACATACATATATACATAGGACTCCCACTACATCCCATACATACATAGGACCTCCACTATATCAACATCACTACATTCCATACATACATAGGACCTCCACTACATCCCCTACATACATACATACATAGAACCTCCACCACATCCCCTACATACATACATAGAACCTCCACTACATCCCATACATACAAGCATACATACATACATTAGACCTCCACTACATCTCATACAGACATACATAGAACCTCCACTACATATCCTATACATACATACATACATACATACATACATAGGACCTCCACTACATCCCTACCACTACATTACTTCTCCAAGGTGATCCTCAACCTGTCTCACCCTCGAAACAATCATACATGGAAAATCACTCCTCCATGTGCTCATTCAGGAAATAAAAGAATCAGCAGCAATGATACATTGTGACAAGAACATGTGTCAGGGAGACATAGGAGGGATCTGCTGACAACTCAAACATGCTGTCATCTCAGTCTGAGACTGTGCTGGGCTCTGGGTACACTATGGGGGAGGATTGGAATCATCCTGCTGTATATGAAAGCAATCAACACTAGAACCAACCAAGGAAGCAATTCTACTATCTATCTAAAGATCCGGCATCGATCAATAGCTCTATTGACTGATCATTACTAGCAGCAATCAGTAGAAACTAGAATCAACCTGTATATGAAAGCGGCAAGTCTAATGTAAAACTAAAGATCTATCATCTTTCAATATATCTATTAGATGATAGATCTATCAGCAATCACTAGAGCTGGAACCTGTTGTATAAGAAGGCAGCAATTCTAATATCCATCAACAATCAATATATCTATTAGATGATCAATCTATCAGCAATCTCTAGAAGTTGCTAAGTAGGCAGCAATTCTAATATCAATCAACAATCAATATATCTATTAGAGGATCAATCTAACAGCATTCTCTACAACTTGCTGTAGAAGGAGGCAGCAGTTCTAATATCCATCAGCAATCACTATATCTATTAGATGATCGATCTATCAGCAAACACTAGAACTGGAACCTGCTGTATAAGAAGGCAGCAATTCTAATATCCATTCACAATCAATATATCTATTCGAGGAGCAATTATATCAGCAATCTCTAGACCTTACTGTATAAGTAGGCAGCATTTCTAATATCTATCAGCAATCAATATATCTATTAGATGATCGATCTATCGGCAAACACTAGAATTGAAACCTGCTGTATAAGAAGGCAGAAATTCTAAAACCCACAGGCAATCGATATATCTATTAGGTAATCAATCTATCAGCAACCACTAAAGCACTAGGGGCAACAATTTAATGTAAAGATCTATTCTCAATCAATATACATTGACTGCTCAGTCTATCAGCAATCAATAGAACTTGGACACACATGAAGGCAGCAATTCTAACAAGACAAATCTGTTATCAGTCAATATATCTATTGGCCTGGTCGATCTATCGGCAATCAATAGAACTGTAATGAACATGCTGTATAGGAAGGCACCAATTCTAATATCAAGTTAAAGATCTTTTTTATCAATCATTATATATATTGACAGCTCAGTCGATCAGCTATCAATAGAACTTGGATAAAGATGAGGGGAGCAATTCTAAAAAGAAAGATCTATTATCGATCAATATATCTATTGGCCTGATCAATCAATAGAACTGTAATGAACATTCTGTATAAGAACGCACGAATTGTAATATCAATTTAAAGATCTATTACCAATCACTATATACTGACTAACCAATCTATCAGCGATCAATAGAACTTGGGTGAACATACAGACATCAATTCTAGAAAGATACTTCTATCAACAGCCAATATAGCTATTGGCCTGATCAATCTATCAGTAATCAATAGAACTGGAATCAGCCTCCTGCAAATGAAAGCAGCAATCAGTAAAAGAGAGATCTATCTTCAATCAAATAGTCTACTGATCGATCCATGTACAATCAATCAATCTATATATTGATCTAGTAATATCTGTCAGCAGTGTTACATTGATCTGGAATAAGCCTCAGGCATGGCAGTGCAGCAATGCTACCCATCGGTCCCACCTGGCCACTTTCCTTCCCCATACTACCTACAGTACTTGGGCTGCACTGGAGGCTACCCATATTAAAATCGATCCCAAGCAGCATAATGTTCTTATTACCAATGAATCAATAATATCTATTGATCTATCAGCTGTCTCATTATGATGTGGGATGGAAGTGCAGTCAGTCTTTCCCTGGCCACATGCTAGATCTTGCCTGCATTCTAGCACTGAAAGCTATACAGTGTCTGATGACCCCCCTAGGAGTGCAGTGGTCCCCCCCCCCCCCCAGTCTGTCTGTCTGCCTGCCATAGGAAGCAATGAGCAGCACTGAGGCTCAGCCTCCTTTAATAAGCACTGATTGAAGATTTGCTGTTGTTCCCATTGTAGTGGCCCCGGCAGTCTGAGCGGAGTGTGTGGCTGGGATTTGTCAAGTGAATGGTCTGGTCCTCCTTCCACTGAGCTCAGTGCTGCGTCAGGAGGGAGACTCCCCAGCACTCCGGACAAAACTTGCTGCTCCCGTCAGCTCATCCCAGCGGCTGATTGTAGGAGCTCGGCTCCCCCCTCCATCGATGACTCCCCGAACCTCTCCGAACCCCCCCGGCCCCCGAACACTGGCTTGCTGCTAACCTTTGACTTGCGGGGATCAAGTTCGGCTCTGGTTACCTGCATTGGGACAAGAAGGAGGAAGGGGGAGGAGAGCCGGGGGGTGGGGGGAGGGGAGAGACTGCAATATCATTTGTGAATCGTTCTCAGGGCTGCAGATACATATTGCTAACACATGCAGTGTGAATGCAGGTAGCACCGACTGCGGCTCCAACACTCACTGCAAGACACCCGCTCTGCCTCCATCACCGGGGAACGGGCGCACTACATGCCCGGGATCGTACAATACAACGTGTGGGGCGCCTGACATCACCGATCCCCGATCTGGATGGACTGCTGTGTGGCTGATCGCAGGCTGCATGGAGCTGTCATCCCTCCGCTGTCCCGGGAACTGAGGCACCGGTGACAGGAGCACCGCCCGGAGCACTGGGGGACATCACAGCCAAGGCTGGGGGGAGGACTGCTGATCACAACCGAACCGGCACTGCTGATCAGCACCAGAAACAGGACTGGGGGAGATCAGCACCACAAGGAGGACTGATCGTCACAACCAAGGCAGGAGGATTGCTGATCAGGACTTGGGGGGGGTGAGATCAGCACCGACAGCAGAGATCAGTACCGAGCCAAGGGGAGATCAGCACCGACAGGAGAGATCAGCACCGAGCCAGGAGCACCGAGGCAGGACTGGAGATCAGAACTGAGACAGAAGTGCTGCACTGCTAGAGGAGTACAAGACCACATCAGCCTCATAGAGGAGTACAGAGGACCAGCCGGACACAGGACTGGGGACCAGCACCCAGACAGGACTACAGATCAGCACCCATTATCAACACTCATCCTAAATAACAGATACTACCCAGAGAGGACTACAAGGATCACCCATTATCAGCACTCATATATTCTATACAACCCATAGAGGACTACAAGGATCACCCATTATCAGCACTCATATATTCTATACAACCCATAGAGGACTACAAGGATCACCCAGTATCAGCACTCATATATTCTATACAACCCATAGAGGACTACAAGGGACACTATCAACACTCATCCTACATAATATCTACCACCCATAGAGGAGTACAAGGGACCCCCAGTATCAGCACTCATATTATATACAACCCACAGAGGAGTACAGCTGCTGATCAGCCCCCATAGAGGAGTACAAGGGACCCCCAGTATCAGCACTCATATATTCTATACAACCCATAGAGGAGTACAGCTGCTGATCAGCCCTCCGTAGAGGAGTACAGGGGAGTATCCGCACTCATCTTGAACATTCTATATCACCTACAGAGGAGATCAGCGGCCAGTGCACTGCCCCGCTGGGGAGTAGGGGGGATCATCTGTCGGACTCAGTCCAGGAGCTCCGCGGTCCCGGGGATCATCTGACTGACAAAGGAGGTAGCGGAGCGTTATGAGCGTGTAACTTTACAGCGGGACACCAGCTTCCGATCCCCGCCGCTCCCCCCCCCCCAACCCCTCTCCAAAGCTCCGCTCTCCCCAGCACACCGCTCCGCGGCCGGCTCCGCAGCCATGAGGACCTTGTGGGGCTGTTGCGCGTTCCTGCTGCGGCTGTCGCTGAGCCTGGCCGCCTCCAACAAGCTGCTGAAGTACCGGCTGGCCGAGGAAGGGCAGCCGGACATCAGGATCGGTAACGTGGCTTCGGACATCAGCATCGTGGCCGGCTCGGGCGAGGTGACCTTCAGCCTGGAGTCCGGCTCCGACTTCTTCAAGATCGACAACATGACCGGCGAGCTGAGCACCACCGAGCGCCGCATCGACCGGGAGAAGCTGCCGCAGTGCCAGATGATTTTCGACGAGAACGAGTGCTTCATCGACTTCGAGGTGTCGGTGATCGGCCCTTCGCAGAGCTGGGTGGAGCTGTTCGAGGGCAGGGTGGTGATCCTGGACATCAACGACAACACCCCGACCTTCCCGTCCCCGGTGCTGACCCTGACGGTGGAGGAGAACCGGCCAGTGGGGACCCTCTACCTGCTGCCCACCGCCACCGACCGCGACTTCGGCCGCAATGGCATCGAGCGCTACGAGCTGATCCCGGACGCCGGGGAGAGCCTGTTCGTGTCCGGCCGGCGGGGCAGCGGGGAGAGCGCCCTCTACCCGGGCAAGAGGCGGATGGAGAGTGACGGCAGGAGCAGCGTGTTCGAGCTGCAGGTAGCCGACACCTCGGACGGGGAGAAGCAGCCGCAGCTCATCGTCAAGGGGGCCCTGGACCGGGAGCAGCGCGACTCGTACGAGCTGACCCTGCGGGTCCGGGACGGCGGGGAACAGCCCCGCTCCTCGCAGTCCATCCTCCGGGTCCTCATCACCGACGTCAACGACAACAGCCCCCGCTTCGAGAAGAGCGTGTACGAGGCCGACCTGGCGGAGAATAGCGCCCCCGGGACCCCCATCCTGCAGCTCAAGGCCACCGACTACGACGTCGGGGTGAACGGGCAGATCGAGTACGTCTTCGGCGCGGCCACTGAGTCGGTGAGGCGGCTGCTCCGATTGGACGAGAACTCGGGCTGGCTCAGCGTCATGCACAGGATAGACCGCGAGGAGGTCAACCAGCTCCGCTTCACCGTCATGGCCCGGGACCGCGGCCAGCCCCCGAAGACCGACAAGGCCACCGTCATCCTCAACATCAAGGACGAGAACGACAACGTGCCCCTCATAGACATCAGGAAGATCGGCCGGATCCCGGTGAAGGACGGCATGGCCAGCGTGGCCGAGGACGTCCTGGTGGACACCCCCATCGCCCTGGTGCAGGTGTCCGATAGGGACCAGGGCGAGAACGGAGTGGTCACCTGCACCGTGGTCGGAGATGTCCCCTTCCAGCTCAAACCGGCCAGTGACAGCGAGGGCGAGCAGAACAAGAAGAAGTACTTCCTGCACACCTCGGCCCCCCTGGACTACGAGAACGTCAAGGAGTACAATGTCATCATCGTAGCCGTGGACTCCGGCAGCCCCAGCCTGTCCAGCAACAACTCCTTACTGGTCAAGGTGGTGGACACCAACGACAACCCTCCCGTCTTCAGCCAGCCGGTGGTGGAGGTGGCCTTCCCCGAGAACAACGTGCCCGGCGAGAGGGTGGCCACCGTCATCGCCACCGACGCCGACAGCGGCAAGAACGCCGAGATCGCCTACTCCCTGGAGCAGTCGGTGGCCGGGGTCTTCTCCATCCACCCCGACTCCGGGGACATCACGGCCAACATCGTCCTGGACCGGGAGATGACCGACAGGTACGACTTCAAAGTGGTGGCCAAGGACAAGGGGCTGCCCATCACCATGCAAGGCACCGCCACCGTGGTGGTCCAAGTGGCCGACACCAACGACAACGACCCCAAGTTCATGCAGGACATCTTCAACTTCTACGTCAAGGAGAACCTACAGCCCAACAGCCCCGTGGGGATGGTGACCGTGATGGATGCCGACAAAGGTCGCAATGCAGAGATGAGTTTGTTCATAGAGGAGGACAATGGCATCTTCACCATAGAGAACACCACCGGCACCATCTGCTCCACCGTCTCCTTCGACATGGAGCAGCAAACTTCTTACACTTTCAAAGTCAAAGCCGTGGATGGTGGGGTCTCTCCCAGGTCTGCTACAGCCACAGTGTCCCTCTTTGTCATGGATGAAAACGACAATGCCCCCATCATCACCAGCCCCATCAACAGTTCCTATGCTGTGGTCCCCCCTTCCAGTGGTGTCAGGACAGTGGTTGCCACAGTGGTGGCCATGGACACTGACTCTGGAGTCAATAAAGAACTCAACTTTAGCATCATTGGAGGAAATCCCTTTAAGCTCTTCGAAATCAACCCAGCCAGTGGTGTGGTGTCTCTGGTTGGGAAGCTGGCCTCCAAGCACTATGGCCTGCACCGCCTAGTCATCCAGGTCAATGACAGTGGTCAACCACCACAGTCCACCACAGCCCTTGTCCATGTTTTTATCAATGAGACTGTCTATAATGCTTCAGTGGTGGATTCTCAGATTGCCAGAAGTTTGCATACCCCCTTAACCCAGGACATAGCAGGGGACCCCAGCTACGAAATGAGCAAGCAGAGATTAAGCATAGTGATTGGCGTGGTGGCTGGGATCATGACTGTCATACTGATTATTCTGGTGGTGGTCATGGCACGCTACTGCAGGGCCAAAAGTAACAATGGCTATGAAGCTGGCAAGAAAGATCACGAGGACTTCTTCACACCTCAGCAGCATGACAAATCCAAAAAACCCAAGAAGGATAAGAAAAATAAAAAGTCCAAACAGCCATTGTATAGCAGCATAGTGACAGTGGAGGCATCAAAGCCAAATGGGCAGAGATATGACAATGTGAATGAAAAGCTGTCTGACAGCCCCAGCATGGGGAGGTACAGAACTGTGAATGGAGGTCCCGGAAGTCCTGACCTAGCAAGGCATTACAAATCTAGTTCCCCACTACCTACTGTGCAGCTTCATCCCCAGTCACCTACTGCTGGGAAAAAGCACCAGGCTGTGCAAGATTTACCACCAGCCAACACTTTTGTAGGAGCTGGAGACAACATCTCAATTGGATCAGATCACTGTTCTGAGTACAGTTGTCAGACCAATAACAAGTACAGCAAACAGGTAAGCTAAAAGAAAATGTGCAATGCAATCAACCAAGTGATGTTCCTAGTTTTGATATGCTGTGAAAAAAAAAGAATATATATATATATATATACACCATATGATGTTATGTCAGGTATAAACAGTTAAAAAAATTATATATATATATATATTTACACCATATGATGTTATGTCAGTTATAAACAGTAAAAAAAAGATATATATATATATATATATATATATTTACACCATATGATGTTATGTCAGTTATAAAGTTAAAAAAAAGAATATATATATATATATATTTACACCATATGATGTTCATGTCAGTTATGAACAGTTAAAAAAAGAATATATATATATATTTACACCATATGATGTCATGTCAGTTATAAACAGTCAAAAAAAGAATATATATATATTTATGTTTACACCATATGATATCATGTCAGTTATAACCAGTTATACACAACACTTCCATTTCCGTTAGAGCAGAAAGCCTATGTTGCATCCAACAGCCAATCAGTTTAAGGGGATTATTGTTTCATTTCCTCTTGCTTGCACAGGTTTTCTTGGCTTGGCTAAACAGGGCTCCTAAACTCCATTCATAATGTACTAACACAAGAATAGCCATCTTTATTCAAACCGTGAGACTGTCATTTTCAAATCTGATTGGACTTCACTGAAAACAACTGTCACTTTTATTTAAAAAAAATTGAGCCTCTGATCTGCATCCACTTAGCAGGAGAATACTGGAACTTCTTGCTGGTAACGTCCTCCTCTTCAGTGCACTGATTTCAGTGTGTTGAGAGGCTGAAGTGGTTGTCATCAAAGGGTTAATCACATACATTTGAAGCGTTTTAAACATCTCGCCTGCAGATGTGCCCCAGATCAGCTCCTTTGAGGCTGACGCAGAGAAAGGTGTAGATTTGTGCATTCCTAATGAAAATCTGCTTGAGCTGGAAATATCCAACTGGGTTACTGGGAGTATTAACCCCCCACCCCCCTCACCCCTTAATCTGATTGAATGTTTGAGGCAAGCCTAAATTTGCAAGGTTGTCATCATGCTTTGTGTGCATATTATTATATTTCTGTATGTACACGCCTACATACACATGCTGGGATTGTACAGCTACCATATAGGCAGCTGTGTATTGTAATAGTGTCATAATTAGCCCCGCTTCATTATTAGCAGACTACTAGCCCCTGTTGGATTTGGTTCCTATGAAATCACCAGGCAGAGTAATTATATTGAGAATTAAACGCAGCGATTCTGCATTTTACAGTAACTTGTAAAGGTGAAACTAATTTATCTAGTGTTAATGCAGCATTTGGTTAGCATGCTACTATCAGGCTGAACTCTGTCATTTCCCAAGCACTGAGAGAGCCTGGCAGCCAATAGAATGTAACACAGTGGTGACTTGCAAAGACTGGCAATAGCTCTGCAGGCTGATGCCACTAATGGAAAGGTTTGTGCTAGATATCTGATGGTGACATGACATCATATCATGCAGAGTTTTCATTAGACACAGGCTATGGAAACCAGTTTAATCATCGACCTCAGATCCGCATGCTTCAATGATAGAAAAATGATATCATATTAACCCTGTGCTGGAAAGAGCTATCGTGTCAATTCTATTAGTTTAACATGTATGTAGCCCAAATTTCCCATTGTGTTAATTAATAATATTCTTAAGCAAAAAGTTGTAAGGTCATGTAATTGAATGCAGAGATCTGCAGTTACCCATAGGATTCGAATCAGATATATGTCAGTGTAGAGAAGTCACAATTATGAAAGCTGACTTTTTATTGATCACTGTGGGTAGGCACATTGCTCTTTGTCATATTAAAGTGGTATTGAGCCCCAAAACAAAAATGCAATATATTTTAGTGTATCAGTCCCTAAATGTGGTGGCTGCATTAGTTTTCTTTTTTTATTTCACCTGGTGATCTGGCCAGTAACATACTCCCTGTCTTAGGCTGGCCATACATTATACAATTTGTTTGAGAATTTTGCTTCAGATTTACCAAAAACTATAGAATATGAGGTCAAACCTAAACAACACTTTCAATTGTATCCAATCAGGCAGGCCCTTGCGCTACATAGTTGAAGGTAAATCTAAAGGAATTTGGTCAGAAAATTGTATCGTGTATGGCCAGCCTTAGGGTATCTCCTTTGGACAGCAGTATTGTCAGTCTGGGGCAGGGGTAGTGTTGGATACCTTAACAAATTTAGATGGTCTCTGCAATCAAATTAAAGGTCAATGCACACCTTTTCATTCAATGTACACCTGAAAACGCAGAATACTCCTAAAAAACGCCACGTTTAGGTGCATCAATGTGCGTTTATGGATTTTTTAAGTGTATATCGTTTTTTTCTGCCCTAAAAAAAACTCTCAAAAATGCATTTGTGATGTTTTATTTTTCTTCCTGCCTCTAAACGCTCCTCTTGAAATATGCCTCTAAACGCCCTAATGTGTATGGACACATAGGATAACAATGAGCTGCTGTGACAGGCAGGAGAAAAAGAACCCAAAACGCCTGTTGAAGCAGCGTTTTTCAAGCATGGTTTGCATGGGCCCAAAAGCTGAACTCCAGCTATCACTTTTCTTTCTTTTAAAACAACAGTTTTTTTTTTCCTTTGGAATAAATGTTTTACATAAATTAATAAGGCTCCCTTCATGTCTTGTGATTTGGGATGGCGGATAGAATCTGATGATTCTGCCTGTCATCCCAAATCATATAGTAATCGCAGCACAACGGTCTGCATGCGTTTGGGTGCCATTATCTTTCTATGGCACCCCAAACGCGATGTGATTCTGCCATGATTATTACACGACAGTATCGCTTGGCAGTTGCTGCACACTGCACTTTTACAAATCGCTTGCACAATTCCCAACACGCACATTCCTGAAGAAATGGCTGTATGTGTAAGCAGGTGCTGCAGCAACCATTAGTTGGAACCAAAAACAGTCATAGCGAGAGGACGTCACCAGCACACCATAGATCTCCAAAATGGGTCCAAAGCTTTAATCAGCACAGCTTTTGCTGTAATAATGTGATTGCTGAATAAAGCTTTGGACCCATTCTGGAGATCTATGGTGTACTGGCGACATTCTCTGGCTTTTACAAATCGCGTGAAGCTGGTCCCCCGAAAAGGAGCAGGAGCTGCTTTTCAGGTGACAAACATGCATAGGGCAGCCCATTCACTTAAATGTGACATGCAGAGTCTCGTGAAACGCGCTATGTCAAAATCGCATAATGGGTACGCTCATTCTCACCAGCCTATAATGTGATCTGGGCCTAAAAGCTGTCCATGGTAGGCACCCCTGTCAGTTAAATGTTTCTCTCATCCCTCTAACTGCCACTTTTGCTTGATCTGTTAAAGCGAGTTGAACAATAACAGATTTATTGGCAGGACCACCAGGTGAAAATAAATGAAAAAAGCCCCCAAAAAAGAAAACTAAGGCAGCCACCTAAGAATTAGTAAACTGCAATATACTACATTTTTATTTTGGGGTTTAACGCTGCTTAAATTGAAGAACTTTCAGACTTACTCAGTAAGATAAAGAACAATTTACAAAGTGCAGTAACCCATAGGAACCAATTAGAATTCATACAATCAATGGCTGGTGGCTGCTATTGGTTACTGTATTTTGCACCTTCTTTTGCTCTTTTCCTGTTGGAGTCTCTTCCAGTATGCGTAGCAAGCACTGCATGGGCTTATGTGTGCTGATGTCATGTTTTTCTTGGCAGAATCCTATTTTCTATCCTTGTCCTGAAAGTCTGCTCTTTCACCCCCAAGTCGTTGCTGCTAGGCTAGACATTTGTTTTTCTATCAGCCAACAGACAGACAAAGGCACTTTTGGTATGCTGCATTTGTCTGCTGTAGCAATGAGGCAAAACAGTAACCAGAATTGTGTCACTGACATTTCCTTACACAGCCATCATGGTGTGTGATGGTAAGTCAGCGGCTATGGTGGAGAAATGTCGCACAGTCGGGCTTATTTATTAAAGCAATCCAAAGAGCCATGAGGCTCCGTAACCCATGTCCTATCGGATCTCTGTATTCGGGAGAAGCGTGGATCATTGTTATTCCATGGTCATTCTTTGCCTTTGCCTTAATAAATAAGGACTTTGGTTTTCAGTTGTGTTTTATTTGCTTTTGTGATGCCTGTCTAAGAATAAATGTTACACAATAATTTATTTTTATTATGAATGCAACTTTCCAAAAGGGAAAACAAAACAATCATATTACAAATAATGTTTGAAGTGTATCAGCATTGCACAGAATTCTGACAATGCATTTTTTTTAGTGTTCTAATTCTATGTATTTCCTTGACATTGGCTGCACATAGAGCATCTTGATTTAATATGTTTGTATAGACTCCTCTGAAGTCTAGCAGTTTGTCACATGAAACTTTGTAGCTTTTAAGCAACATTGTTTATTTTAGGAAGTAACTAGTTGTATATCATTCTAATTACCTGTAATTGATGTGTGTGTGTGGCTTTCCTACTAGCAGGGGTTATTTTTTCATCGCTATTAAAAGATACAAAAACAAGGGAAAGAGGAAGATTGTGTAACTAATTTGTTATGGTTATTTTAAAAATAAATTTGGTTACATCATGTATACAATGAGAGCTAGTGTAAATGGGCTTGGGGTGCTGTGCAAATGTGTTTGCCATGTGTTTGCCTTGCATTCACATTGCTGGGAGAATAAAGCACAAACCAATGTCAGCCCCAGAATCCTAGATACACTGGTCCTTAATAGTATAGGGCCTTATTATCATTTCCAAAATAGGAACCGTTGCCTGGGGGAGATTTACAAAGAATCTGGTGTAGCAGTGCATGGTAGCCAATCAGCTTCTAGCTTCAGCTTGTTCAATTAAGCTTTGATAATAAAACCTGGAAGCTGATTGGTTTCTATGCAGAGTTGCACCAGATTTAGTAAATAACTCCCATAGCGACCAATTACATTATACTCTTTTTACAACTGTCATTTTTTTCATTGAAGGATTGA